GTATAACTTTGTATAGGCTGGAGACTGACTGCGGGCATCGCAAGTTAGTGGCTAGCAGGCGGGGGCGGGGGGGGGGTGAAGTGGTGGTGGTCCAATTCGCCTTTCAAAAGCCTTGTTCAACCCACCTTTTCCGTATCTTCATGGGTCCACCCTGGATGGCGTTACGTTAGCTCAAGTGGTTTCACGATCAAATCATTCAACCCCCAAACACATGCCAGCCACCCGCATCTGCACCTCTTCGCATTGCTGTATTCCACCCTATTCTGGTGGGGGGGGGGGTGGAAATACTGTGAACTCACATCGAGCGTCTCTACCGTGCAATTCCAAACCACATAGGCACCCAGCCCAGGCGCGGTCCCACTGACCACCACGTAATCATCAATGGTTACGCTCTTGGCCCACAGCACCTTGCACTGGTCGGAGCCTTCGTCCGTATGGTCCTCAAGACCAATAGGCGTCGGATGACCGTTGTCGCTGGTCGAGTAGGAGCTCACCCGACTAGGATTGCGATCGTGTTTCCGCCAGTATGGTGGCACTACACTGTTGCGTTCTGGGCGGCCAGAAGGACCGGCCGCATCCGCAGTCTCAGCGCCGACGGCGGCGGCGGCGGCGGCGGCGGCAGCAGCAGTGTTGGAGGTAGTAGCAGTGGTGTTGTCAATAGTAGTAATGGTAGTGGCGGGGTTTGCCCCCTCACCATGAGCATAGTCGTCGCAGCCAGGCGATGGGGATGGCTGGTGGACAGTTTCATCGACCGCCGGCTCCATCCATTTACAGTAGCGGGGCTCGGCGGGTGGCGTGTCAAGACTGGAAAGCGGTGGGCTGGCTGGGAGGGTTGTGCAGAGGGAAGAGTGCAGGTGGTGGTGTGCGTGCGTGTCCTTTTTGAGAAGACAATAGAATGAGGAAAAGGTGAGGAGGAAGGGGATAGGTAGGCAGCAAGAGAATCGTTGATGGTCAAGTGAGATGCTGCGACAGGACAGGACAGGACAGGACAGGGCAGGACAAGGGTGATAGTGTACTCTAGAGTAGGTAGTGTGCAAGCCAACAAGTTGCTCGGCGGCTGGGAGGATCAAATAACTGACTACAACTTGACACTTACAGAATACGTGCGAGGGAACTAGGTTGGAGCTGGAAAAGGGCCGAGGGGTGGCCCAGCACGCACTTTGATCGTAAGAGGTATCTTGAGGTCGCCTCGTTCGTTTGTTCTCGCCCTCGCCCCTCGGATGCGCGCAGGGACCCTGGTTTCGTGTTTGGAGGTGCAAAAATACTGTATTGTACCAGGTATACAGTACAATACACGGTAATCAGGCAACGGTGCTGGCAGAACGGGGGGCTGTGAGTGGCCAATGCCCCTGAAGCGGTGGCAGCACACAAACCTCAACAACCGCAAAATGTGTTACAATACACACAGCGACAAGAGCTGAACGCTCGCAAAGTTGACTTTTCTCTCCCGTCCACACCAGTTCCGTCCGTATCACTCCCTCTCTCACTCTCTCCCTCTCTCCCTCTCTCACTGTCATCATCCTCGCTCTCGTTCTCGTTACCCCCGGCGCCCGAAGACTGGACCTTGTTTTTTCCCCGACACATGAACCCCCATCGACTCATTCACCACGCATTGCACCACCACACCACCGCAACCAAGGGCAAAGTCGGTGAAGCTTGCCTTTGCTCTGACTCGCCCTCGACGCCCGATGGAGCCGCGGTAACTGTACCCAGGTAGCGTTCGACATGTGCAGGCTGGGGGACAGGCCGCACGCGCCAGATCGTGCGCCTGGTCCCGATCTCACACTACGGTGTTAGTTCACTGACTTCCCGTCTTATAGTTGGCACTACTTGTTATACCATGCAGCTCCCTTTATATACCGACACCCGGCTAGCCAGCATCTTCCAGCCTCTTCGTCTTCTTGCAACGCCTACGCCTGCACCTTCGCTGGGAAGACTTTCAGTTACACCGTGCCAAGGAAAATCACCTTGATTGCCAGACCCCACCGTCGTTGCTGGCTAGAAATACTGCTTGACCCATCCATCCTCGTCTAATCCTCTCCTCGCCTCTCACTTCTCGCCTGCACACCAACCCTCAGACGCGTAAGTGCATTCCAGCCGTTTCAATGGCAACCGAGACACCTTTCTTCTGACGCCACGTTGCTGACCCATTCCTCTGTAGCATCTCCTAGAATAAATTCACCGTATTCTTCTTCCTCGACCTCACCTCCACCAATCCATCATACACCCACATCAACATCATCTTCTCACGATGCACGCCTCCATCCTCGCCCTCGGCACTGCCGCCCTCGCTGGTTTCAGCTCGGCCCAGACTACCTCGCAGCAAAACTACCCCTACACCATTGACCCAAACACCGTCTCAGAGTCTGACAGAAGTATGTCTTTGCGCCCACTCCCTCAGAGCCTGTCTCGAACACACGCATGCTAACACTCTCTCTTCCAGCTTTCTGGTGTGACCAAAACATCGCCCAATGTCCCCTCATCTGCCTCCAACAACCAGGCGTTACCTCCATGTCTACCGAAGAAAACTCTTGCGACTCTACAGCTCTGACCTACACTTGCGTTTGCGAAAACGGCGTAGTACCCAATGTCACACAGTACTCGCAGACCCTCCCTTTCTTCATCTGCCAGGAGTGGGGAAACAACTGCGTTGCAAACTGCCGAGGCGACAACACCTGCCAGTCCAAGTGCCGGTATGCCTTCCCTTTCTCTTTTTCTCTCCCTTCTCTGGTGCAACGTGCGAGTAGTGAATTAGGAATCCGTGGCTAACTCCCATGACTCAGATCCGATCATCCCTGCGGTGCACAAAGCCCCTTTTTGGGTAATGCATCCCTCTCCTCGACGGCCACTGCCGGTCCAACCGGTGGCGCCTCCGCGACGAATTCGATTCCCATCACTGGGTTCGGTGGACAACAGCCTACAGGGAGTAGCTCCTCGGGCAACACGGGCGCTGCATCCACGGGCTTCGTGCCCAATGCTGGCCTGAGCTTGGCCGCCGTGTTTGGCAGCGTATTCCTCGGTTTCGCTATCCTCTTGTAGTCAAACATCTTGGATCGCCCTTTTAGCCTCGCTACCCCCTTAGCCTTCCTGCCCACAGGAATACGCAGTCTACCACATCCCTTGAGCTGAAGAGTCGGCACAGTCCCGCTCCTTCTACTTCATTGTCCACAGTTTTTTTGCATTGCATAGCGGTTCGCAGATCCATGTTGTATCACAATCCTTTCATGTCTATCATTATACCCCACAAGTCTTGGGCTATCATCTCGCTCCTTATTTCAAGAGGCTACGCGAGGCCTCCACTCGTCCATGTTTAATGTCCACGCAAAAGGCGTACTTATATGAGGGGTCGGTTTGGGATGGAGCTTTGTTGTTGTTTTTTCGTCAGCATTTAGGCGGCCGATAGGTAGCGACCGAGTTGTAATATGAAGATTTATGAGGTGGTGTTGATGCACAACTAGTTTTCCGGCATTCGTTCGCTGCCTTCCTGAAGACACCTGAGCTGACATGCACCCGTCAGATGCGGGGGCGCTAGGCTGAATTGAGTTGACGAGGAATATCCCAGGGTCCGGTCGCCTAACTTCATCTCACAACCTCGATCAGCCTGTTGATTTGGCTTGGGATTCTTGCGCACTACACACATGTGTAAGAGAGTGGTCAGAGGATATCCTACCCGAGTCTGATCCAGGGTGTTCCCAAAACAATGGCCTTTACCCTGTTTTGATGTCACTATCGTGGACTATTACCCCCCACTTAAGACCAGAAGCATGTCAGAGACATCTAGAAATGATGGCCCCCATGTCACCTGCGATCTTCCATGCCGAGAGGCGACCCACCATCCGCTTGGCCCATCCATGTTTCAACTAACACTCTCTTCTGCCAACAAAGACGAAATCTTTTCAGAAGCACTATCAGACCTCGACAAAAGTCACCAACAAACCTCCACCATTCTACAGAACCTGCAAAAATGGAATCCTGCCACCGCAGCCTTGTTCACACTACGATCTCCCTCCACTATTCTGTCCACTCCCTTCCGACTCGTCTATCCCAATGAGCATCTATGCGCTTTTGACGAGGCTGGACTGTACGCCAGACAGTTCCTCGCCATATCGTACTGTTGGCATTCTCCCGACTTCCAGCCAGGAGACTCTGGATGCCACGATGTCTGGCCCGTCAAAAAGTCAATTGTAGACGCCATATGGACCGAGAAGCCTCATCCCCGTGTGGGAATTTGGATGGATCAATTATGCATTGATCAATCCTCATCTGCGGACAAGCGAGCCTCGGTTGCCGCCATGGACATCATTTACCGCTCTTGCTTACGCCTGGTCATTCTGCTCGAAGACGTGCTTCTCGACGAACAGGAGATTAGGCTTGTCCAAAAGTACGACATCTTCACTCGCTCTTTTGACCGGACGTGGAACTTTGAACCGGATGATGTCGCTGTTTTTGCAAGTTTCTATGACAAAGTGGATGGGGCCCGGTGGTGGAGTCGGGCATGGTGTTTCCATGAATTCAGTGTGCATCAGCCGTGGACGGACAAACGCCAGTCTGACGGTAGATACAATGCGACGTTTATACTGTGCGGGCCCAACGACACGACCGTGAAGATTAAGTGGGTGAATCTGCAGCTGCTCATGGGAAGCGCAGCGTACGTACTCCCCAACGCGTCTGGCTGGGTCAAGGGGCAAGCCATCTTCGCTGGCGTGGGATTGAAGTCTCAGGATCAGGAAAGAGGGTGGAGAAGCAGCATCATGGCCCGACACAATGGAGTTAGCGACATGGGCAGCAGTCTCTTGGAAGATCGTCTTAGTATCATGATGAATTTGTGTGGCTTGGGTCTAGCATATGTAGGTCCAGGTCTGGGGTCTACAGACGAGATATTCTATCTAAGTACTCTACTCGCGCTGGCAGCTGGAGAGACGGCGCCCTTGACCCTGATGCATCACCAGTCTATGAGGCTCCAGGGAAACCCGACCTGGCTATCCAAACACACAGTCATGAACGACATCACAATCCCCGGCTTCAAAATCCAAACCCTCACCGGCATCCATCAGATCCAGCCCGCCCAAATCGAACTCGACATGCTCTTCCTCGACGCACCCTGGGAGTCCATCAAACCCCAGCATCTCGCACCCACCTACACCATTTTCCCCCACACAATCCCCACCACCCCACCAGCCACCCACATCTCAGCCGCAGCAAGTCGCGTCATGTCCATCTACTCGTACTCCGAAACCGACCTCGACCTGCCCCGCCGCCGCTTCCTAGCAGGCTGCATCCTAAGCGGCGCCCGATTCACAACCCGCCTATGGACCCAAATCCAAAACGATATCATCAGCCCAAACTACAACACCGGCGCCTTTAAAAACCTCTCCCCAAACCCCACCTTCACCGTCCCAGCAACCCGCTTCCTCACCCAGCTTTTCCCCATCTCAACCCTCCTCGGCATCTCGCAGTCCTCACACACTTTCACCCCGCACGACGCCGCCTTGTTCCTCACCTGGCTATCCGACCCCCGATCAATGTACTACATCGGCCTCCACACCTTCCGCACCGAATACAGCCCCCGCCCCCGCCCCGACTTCGCCTTCATCAATTCAATGACGTGTAACCAGTATTTCCGCACCGCCAACCCCGAGCAACAACATCAGCTACGCATCGCCATTCCCACTCATCTCCTCGCGTCTTCGTGTATACCGCTGCGCGCGTGGATTCTGCAGCCTGTTGGCGTGCCGGGGGTGCAGAGGTGGCGGCTTGTGGGTAAGGCGTTGGTGCTTGGGGAGGGGGATTTGGAGGATGAGGCGAGGGGGAAGGGGGAGAGGGTTAGGGTGGAGAGGGTGGTTGTTTGTGGGTGATTGGGAGGGAAGATGGGCTCTCTAGAAAGTAAACGAGGAGGGAGGGGGGAGGTGGGGAGGTAGATGGTATAGTTAGGATTCATGGTAATATATTTAGCTATAAATGATTCAATGCAAGATATGTGTGTGGATCTGTAACTTGCAGTATTCCCCCTCCCTACTCTACGCGCAAACCGCCCAACATCTCACACCTGCGCACCCGAATCCTCCAAAACAAACCCAGAATCTCAAGCGTTTAGCCTTGAGCGGTTCCAACTTGCAGGCTTGGTATCTCGAGATGCTGAAGACGGTGAAGAGGTTGGATATATCGGTATTTCCATAGACTAGATAGGATCGGGGATTAAAGGACAAGGGAATCTTTCGCACAGGTGTCTGTTTTCAATAAAAAGGAAACAAAAAGAAAAGAAAAGAATTGAACAGGATAAAGCGGGATAAGGCAAGACAACACTCCAAATCATCTGCATCTCACCATAACCACCCTCCAACTTGCTCTGAACGGCACTGCCATGTCTCGCAGCTGTCCAAAGCCAAAGCCAAAACCCCCCCCAAAAAAAAACATCCCGGACAAGAAAGTAAAGCACAACTTGACAATCTCAGCGCAAGCCGTATTCCCCATAAAACCACGCACGCAATAATAAATCGAAGAAAAACCAATCAACCCAACTCCACCACCACTCAAGCACCCCCCTCCCCCTCATCCTCAACCCGCACAACGCGAATCGTCGGCGCACCCTCACACCCCCTGACCTCGAGCGCGCGCTGAATATGCAGGACTCTAGCCGTACCTGGACCTGGACCTGCAGCTGTGACTGCATTTGCGGCTGTACCTGTGGTCATGGTAACAGCTGTTGCCGTAGCGGTGCCTGTTTGCACAGGTGTAGAATCCGTACTTTCGCTGTGTGTTTCGGGTTCGGGGGGTGCGGTACTGGATGCTAGTTGTGAAGTGGCGGAGAGGGCGCGGAGGTGGTGGAGGGAGGGGATTCTGCGGAGGGAGGAGCGGCGAGTTGATGGGGGTTGGATTGTAGGTGTGGTTGTGGATGTAGTGGTGGATGTTGTAGTGGTGGGGGTGGGGGTAGAAGAGTTGGCGTGGTTGTGAAGAGAGAGGTTGGAGTGTAAATGGGAACTCTGTCTCGGAAGAGAAACAGGATGGTGCAAAGTCGTATGCGTCGTGCATGCCGAAGAAACAGACGCCCCGTCATCATCCACACAATCACCCTCCCCGCCCTGTCTCTCACCCTCGCCCTCTTCCTCCCCACCCGAACTCGCCCCCGAACCCGATGCTTGCCCCGAAACACCCGTAACAAACGTCAAAGACGACGACGACCGCTCCGATCGCGAAGCCGCAGTGTCCAGTCTCGCAGGTAGCAACGGCGTTCTCCCCTTGCCCCCAACCGAAGCCGTCGTCATGGACAACGGCAATTCGAGCACGGAAATCTGCTCGGATAGAGAACTACTGCTGAAGCGGCTTTGCGCGTACGATGTGGTTCTCTCGCTCCTTGTAGCAGGCCCCGCACTCTTACCCTTACCATTCGTGCCTGGAGCATATGGCGCTGGCGGAGCAAGCCCAGGATATCCAGTAGGTTGATAACACGCAACATCTGGCGAAGTATCCGGGGCCCGTGGAACTACCTGCGCCAAAGGCTCCAGGACATTTCCATTCGCCGCGGCCTGGCGGTGATGGTGCGCAGGGGATTTTGAAACCCTCTTTCCAGAGAGCCCCGGCGTACCGGGAGGAAGACCAGACCAGCGGCGCGAGTTGCCGCTTGCGTCGCGGTTGGTGGAGCGCATGGGACTCAGTGGGTTTCGGTATTCATCGCGCACCCCGGGGGCTAGTTGCGAGCTTTCATCGCGGTATCGGGCGCGGAAGTTGCGGAAGTCGGCGCGCTCGTAGTAGTTACTTGGTCCGGAAGGGGAGCTGGCGTCGAGGTAGGATGTCACGTGTGGAAAGGAGGCCATGCCGACATGGGCGAGGTTGCTGTAGAGGTGGTCATGGAGGGCATGATCGGAGTAGGATATAGTTGTTGGGTAGAGGTTTGCGGCGAGGGCGCCTTCGCGGATATGGGGAGGGATGATGACGGGAGTTTCTTTGGAGGTGGAGGAGCTCGTGGGTATGCAGTTTAGGGGCCGGGTGAGTTTGTGGAGGAAGTGTGCGATGAGGGAGGTTGGGTCGGAGAAACCACCTCGATTGAGTGCGCGTCAGATGGCTGTTGGTGATTTGCTAGGTC